GAATTCGGAAGGTTAGTGAGAAGGTTGAAGGTCGGAATGGCGCGCGTCGGCAGCCGGGGGCAACAAATGGAAGTTACCTCTCCAAAAGAGGTGGCCTCCGGACCCGTGCCTTCAGTCGCTGAGTCGCGGCCCGCCATACCCGTTACGGCAGCCGTTGAGTCGTCGGCCGCAGTAGCCGCTGTTAGGGCACCCGCTTGGCCGGCCGCCTCGAGAAAAGCTTGATTCGTGAAATCTTTAGAATCTATTAAGAAGGCCATGACGTCGTTCTCATTCATCATTTTTGGTTCTTTTTTTCTTTTAAATTTCTAACAGTTTTTTTGCTTCTAACTATGCGAATTAATGTCGCAAGATGGAAGATGGAATTTCAAATTTTTCGCCCCGCTTTCTTTTTTGTTTTCTTCTCCTGAGAGGTGCAACTGTAGCGTATATGCGACGTTTTGCTTTTTTTATCTTTTTGTTTTAAATAATAAACTATACGACAAAATGTGCGAAATAACAGCTGTCGAGTAATGTTCGCGTAAAAAGCGCCATACTTTCGCAATTCCGATGCATTTTTAATAAACAAAATAAATATAATGGTTTAGTTTCCGTATCTCTTTCGCAGTTTAATACCCTGCGGTAGACCTGCGAATAAACGCATATCCGTCGTAAGACGGTCGCATAAATAATCGCATTTATCAAACCAAAATAATTGTTTAATAATTTGTTTTACACAAAAAGTGGGTATGCGGATATCCTCTGGTTGACCTGCGAATGAATTATGCGACGTTTATTTGTCGCAATTATGTGTGTCGCAGAATAGAAAATTTCCAAAAATAATTTTTGTTTAAATAAATTCTTCGATTATACTACGAATGTTGTGTGGTTTGTATGCGAAATTGTTTTGACTAATTGTCGCAGGTTCATTAGCCTAAACTGTTGAATTTTCCAAAAAATAAATTCTACAAAAAAAAAACTTAAATATGCGACGTTTGTATTTCGACTAATTGTCGCAGGTTCATTAGCCTACACTACGTGTTATGCGTTTGTTATGCGTAATATATTCGACTAATAGTCTCAGGATCATTTCGCCTAAACAAGTATTTTCAAAAAATTAAATTCTAAAAAAAAATTATTATGCAACAACTAGGCGAATAATACACGACGTTTGTATTTCGCAGAATAGAAAATTTCCAAAAGAAATTAAAAAAAATTATTCTTCATTTATACTACACGAGTGTTTCGCAATGTGTGACGCAGAATAGAAAATTTCCAATTTTTTTTTTGTCTTATTATGCACCAACTAGGCGAATAATATGCGAAGTTTGTATTTCGCAGAATAAAAGATCGAACATAAATCCCTACACTACTACTTTTACATTCGCTTCAACCCCAGCCGATTACAAAGTTAAAAAAAGAATCGAAGGACCAGCCAAGCCTAAAAAAAAGCTAGGACGAGGGAGCCGACGAGCTACCACAACACTCAGATTCGAGAAAGAGGAGCTGTAGGTGGAGCTTGTTTGTGGAGTTCCATGTAGAACTCCAGCATTAGATCGGCAACGACCACCACGCTCTCAACCGATGGGCTCTGACGGGTTCGGGAAAAAACTCCTTCGATACCAACCACCTTTCTCTGTCAGGAAAACCTGGTTGACCACAACCTAGAGAGGTTGAGGCCAGCATTGCCTCTGACAGAGTGTCGGGCCGTTACGCCCCGGCTGCCGACGCGCGCCATTCCGACCTTCAACCTTCTCACAGTTGATCCGGCATTACGCGGGCCCGGAGGTTTGATCTTCATAGTCGCTGTCTCGGCATATATGTTTTCTGCCGGGGCCACATTAATAAAGTTGGATAGCAGAATTTTCGCTCGTTGAATTTTTTCCTCCGATGAATTCGGAAGGTTAGTAGTTCTCAATTCAGACACAGTAATCTTAAAGAATTGCCTCACGGGTCGAAAGAAAGAATTTTTGTAACTCTGGTTTATCTTTGGCGAACTGCTTCTCATATACAAGAAAAGGGAAAAACGGAGGGCCACTAACTAAGAATTCTGGGGGACGGATGGTAGTAACAGAAGTGGCATGATATGGATTGAAGATTACACGCTTGATATAGACGGATGAAATGATTCGCGTTCACGCTTTTACTGCCCAGGCATTTCGAAAAGCGGATAAGACGCCTCGAAATCGGCCGTAACGTTTCAACTGCCAGCGGTTTCTAGACCATTCAAAAATTTAAATTTTAAAAATAAACTTTCGGTGAAAGATGAAAGAAATAAAAAATAAACTTTCGAGTAGAAGCGCGAAGGGGGTATGCGATCAATATGCGGTAATTTTCATACCCCATCGCATAACTGAAATAACAGAAAGATGAAAGAAATAAAAAATAAACTTTCGAGTAGAAGTACGAAGGTGGTATGCGAGCAATATGCGGCAATTCGCATATCCCATCGCATAACTGAAATAACTGAAAAATGAAAGAAGTAAAAAAATAAATAAAAAACACTTTTGAGTAAAAGTGCGAAGGGGATATGCGAGCAATATGCGGCAATTCGCATACCGCCTCGCATAACTGAAAGATGAAAGAAATACAAAAAAAACTTATTATGCACCAATTCTGCGAATAATATGTGACGTTGGTATGTCGCAGAATAATTATTTCGACTAATAGTCGCAGTTCATTCGCCTAACAGTAATAATTATTTAATGGGTGACGGACCGCGATTGACCGAGTCGTACATCGAATCTCCGCAGATTCGTCGCATACTTTAACTCATAATTTTCTCGCCCATGCTCATACCGGTCGTCTATCTATCGTATAGTTTTTCGCATATCTCTTCGTACTTTCTGGGGTGAAAAACTTAACTTTTTATTGGGTGGTGTGAAAAATTTAGCAGGACTTCAAAATGGGGTGAAAATAAATATTTCCTCTTGAATATATCCTAACATATACTCAATATATACCACATGACAACTGCGTGAATAAAGAAATTCTAGATGCGCACATATATTGAATATATACTAACATATACCCAATATATACCACCTGATGCGTGAATTAAAGAATATCAGTTGCGCGGAATTAAATGAGTTAGTTATTTATTATAGACATGTTTTTCATTTCTCTCTCTTAATCAATTCCATAAAAAAGGGATGGATGTTGAAGATTATAGTAACTGAATTTAAACATTAACGTTACTTATTATCTATTAGATAGGTTTGTAATTATTTGTTTATGAATTGTATATTTGCAATATTTTTAGAATCATATTGGATAGATGAAAATTTCCATGTGGTCACGATTCTGGCCCAATACTTGTAGCATCTTCAGTTATATTCCAACTTGACAGTCCAAATTAAACTAGTTGTTGGGTTGGCCCATTTCTACTTATCCAGCTCCATTCAGTCGAGTATCGTCTTCAAGGTATAGTAGTAGCAATCCATGTACTCTAATCGAGGAAAATGGCTAACAGAGCTAAAATGGTGCTCTTGTCTACTCCTGGTACATCGCTAAAACCCTTAAATCCTTTGATTGTTCTAAATAATTCGACCCCGAAGTTCTTTGCGTTCCTGCCAATTGTCCCAAAATCTACTAAGAGCAACAGCATATCAAGAAATGGCAGAACCCAGAAGTTGCCTCGGTGCACAATCTCCAAGTGGCCCGCATTAGCCGAGACCGAGCACGAAGAAGATTTCAAGTCGTCAGACGAAGTTTCAGAAAGTGAAGACGGCCCGGCGGCGGCCGCGGAGGGAATCGGGCAGACGCCGCCGCCGCCGCCGCCGCCGGTGAGGCAGCAGCGGCGGCGCTACAGGAAGGCATACCCCGGAGAGAAAGAGGGTATCACGGAGGAGATGAGGTTCGTTGCGATGAGACTGAGGAACAGTGGAAAATCCAAGAGTCGGGCTAACTCCAATGGCGTGGAGAGTGAGAAAAATAATGAAGTGGATGGTGATGCGGAGGAGAAGGATGATGGAGATGGAGACGAGTGGCAGCCGAGCATGGAAGGATTCTTGAAGTATTTGGTGGATAGCGAGCTGGTTTTCAGAACGGTTGAGAGCATTGTTGATGAATCCACTGATGTTTCTTGTAAGTTGTTTTCACATACAATTATTCTGATATTTTGCGATTCTGTGTTCAAATTATTGTTTAAAATAGTTCCATTCATATTGCATTGTCTCCAGGTGAAAGAAAGTTAATTGTTTTTTTCCTTGCATTTTGCTTTTTCTTATATTTGAAAGAAAGTTATTTGCTGGCCTTATTGTTGAAATATTTCCATGCACTCGGTCGGGTCGAACCGATGTTAGCTCGTAGGCGACATAATTATGCTGGTATGGTATCCCATATCTAGTTCAATTTTTAAACTGGTGATCTCAAGGAAGCTTTTGTGGGAGAAGAAATCTGTTAAAACATACGATAAGATCACGTGTGGAGAAAGTATGTCCTTTTTGTTTTGTATTGTCAATTGTATCTAGTTCAGTTCTTAAATTGCCGAATACTTGTCGAGTTACAATGTGAAACATGCAGAAATTTTTAAAGTTATGGTCAGTAGCATGATGTGTGCAGTATTTTTGCGATATTTATATAAAGTGAGTGAGTAAGTGATTGATTGCATTGGTGCCTTAAAAATCAAAGCTCCTGGCCTTGTGTCTATGCAGATGTTTACTTCAGAAAGACAGGATTAGAAAGGTCGGGTTGCATTATGAAGGATTTAGAATGGTTAAGGGAGCAAGGTAATGTGATTCCAGAGCCTAGCAACCCAGGCGTCAAGTACATGCAATATCTGAAGGAACTTGCTGAAAACAGCCCGCCATTGTTCCTTTCCCATTTCTACAATATTTATTTCTCCCACATAGCGGGAGGACAAGTGATAGCTAAAAAGGTATTGCGACATTTTTCTTTTAATTTCTAAAATCCATCCTTTGATATCAGTCTGTTAATTTACATGTTGTGTATGATTTTCTTTAATTGATGCTGGATTTCATGTTGAATTGTTGTTCAATTTGTTTAAATCTCTGATTTCATTAATGTGTTTTTCTCTTTATTTGGGATAGCTCTTGTCTCAGTTCTGTATTCTAGTGCTTGAATTGGTGGCCAAGTTCTTAAATGTGTCTTGGCTATATTTAATGGGTTGATATCTGGAAACATTTGCGCTTTCCTTTTCATGTTATGTATGTTGCAAGTGTTGACTACTTATTTAGTGGAGGGTTTTCCATCTTCAGCTTGTATCTTACGAATTCCATTCTTCACTAGGTCTCGAGTAAGCTATTGGAAGGGAGAAAATTGGAATTCTATAAATGGGAAGGAGATGCCGAACAATTGCTGACGAGTGTTCGCGAGAAACTTAATGCACTTGGAGAGGCAAGTGTCTACATTTTCTATTTTTCCTAACAATGCTTGCAGCTTTGTTTTTAAAAAATTTAGTTTATTAATATATTTTGCATGTTTGTAGCTTCTTATTCGTTCTGTGATGATACATTTATACTGATGCTCTCTCTCTCTCTCTCTCAATTTTCTTGTGTTTTCAGCACTGGTCAAGAGATGAGAAGAACAAATGTTTAAGTGAAGCAACAAAAGCATTCCGTTTTCTGGGGCAGATTGTGCGCTTAATCATATTGTCAACAAAACTCTAGTTTAAACAACATCCAACATTTCATGTGAGTTAACCAAAGATTTCATGATTTTTCAGTCCTCAATTATATGTGAGTCAGAGAGGCTAGATAGTCGCAGTCTCATTTTAGTTTCCTTTTATTCTTGTTACAAAAAAAGAAGCCTTGCGTTGCTAGACAGGATTTCAAATACGTAGTTTTCCGGCCTTTTATTTGCTGTCATATGATTCGTTACCGGGAAATGCTCGTGTATAATGCCATTTCATTTCTTTCTTTCTTTCTTCCTTCATTTTTCAGTCATTAGAAAATAATAAATTTCTGGTTTTCTGTTTATCCTTTTTATACAGGCACACCAATTCAGTCTGTGCAATTGATGAATGCTGAACAAGAGCTTGAATCGAGATTAGGGCACAATTGTTCATGAACTTTTGTCTTAGGTAAATAACGGCTTAACAGAAGTAAGCAGAAAATCGATAGTTAACAAGAATCCCTAGGAACATTCAGCCAGTTGTGAGTTGAAGAATGTGTGGTTAAAAATTGTTGCGCAGGACATGGAAGTCCACATTTTCAACGATTGTAATGTAGGAATACCTTTTGCAAGAATGTATTTGAGATTATAATGGTTATGAAAGGTTTGATCCGTGAATTGAACAAAACGATAAAAAAATGTGTCCGTCTATCCACGACAATAGGTATATCGAGCATTTTATCTTTTATATGATGATGCGGAAAGTTGAATGATATTTGAAAGAAATGGATGCTTATTTCAATTAGAATTCCCACATCAAATCCCTTGATCATTTATTTCAGTTTGGTGAATAAAAAAATGGTCAACAATCCTTACAGTGTTGACAGGGTCTTGCTGAGACGACACTGACCGCCATTTGCTCGGAAATCTTCTCCTGTAGCTGAGGCTCTGTATTAGTTTCGACTCTCCCTCCCAGCACGGGTCAACCTTCCACGCCTTTGGAACCTATAAAATAAAAATTATAATAAATGCATAATGTAGGAATTAGAATTTGTAACTCCAGTAAATAGGGTGAACCTCACAGCACAAAATTTAATAATTAATAATTTGGAAACTCAAAAGTATCGACTTCCGGCAAGATTTCCAAGATTCCTCCAAAAAATGCAGACGACCAAAAAACACATGTAACTAATTTTCAGCATACGAAATTGATATTTCTGACCTTATCCACAGCAAGGGTGAAAACCTCGAGATCGCCTTTGGTGTTGATATGGAAGCGAGTGAAGGACTTGTAATTTGCAATACGAAGGGACGAAAAGGCCTCGTCAAAGTGCAAATGGAGCCAGTTGATGCACACATAAAGATAGCTCCCGAAAACCAAAGACACAACAGGAGTCGAAAAAACCCAGAAATAAAGAAAAATGGAGGCATAGTATATGGCGGCCCCACCTCTCGAGAGGGAGCGCATCCCGTTTTTGCAGATGTTGTTCCTCGTCACAGCCATCACCTGCAGCAAAATCATCTATCTATCATCTAACACTCTCCAAATCCAAATCCAAATCGAGTTTATATTATTATTATTATTATTATTATTATTATTATTATTATTATTATTACTACCTCAGGGACATCGAATGCAGACATTAGATACTTAATGCATGCAGGATAAAGGCCAAACGTCCATTGCTCAATACGTGCACGAAGTCCAGTTCGATCCGGAAAATGCTCGCTCTCCACTGACCTGTACCATTCGTACAGAGTGTGGTAACCTGAGATTCAAATCCTAGAATATGATTAAAACCCTCGTCATCTTTATTTTCACATCTCTTTATAATATGGAAATACATGTAATTTGCAATTTCACACAATTTTTTGTCATCGGTATGATAAAGGAAAACAAGTACATAAAATCTTTATTATCGGTTGGTATGTGTAAAGAAAGAAACTCACCAGAAGTCGCCAATAGTTTATGCCTGATACACGTCTCAACACCCAATTCCAACAGCAGCATTAGAATCAATGCTGAAACCAAGTGAGCCGAGAAATGGAGAAACCCAATTAAAAATCTCCTCTTTCGGGAGACTTTTGAAGGCACAAAGGTGATAGCCGCGACTAACAGGAAGACAGCACCGGCTGATGATACATACGAGTGCGCAACCATGTACATGAAAGCATCACATATCGTGCCTAAAAACCTCTTTATGTGACCCCAAATTGTGTTATCCTGTAAGATGTGATCTAGCTTACACTAGAACAAAATTCCCATTATTAAATAACCTTTCTGCATAATTCGATAAATTTCCCAAAAAGAGTTATAAAATTCCTTTTTTAAAAAATTACAAGTGCCCTATTCAAGTCCTTATATTCTTTCCTTTAATAGTATACAATTTGAGAAAATATCAACGAGGTTGTTTATATTTCTATATAAAACTGATTTTATTCACCAAAGAAAAAAAAAAAAAATTTATTACCTTTGAATTTAACATGAATAAAATGATACCTGAGGAAACATGGAAAAGGCCAAGACGAAGTATATAATGCCACCAATGAAATCAAACTGCCAATTTTTCTTGCGAAACTTCAATATATTTCCTAAAGCAATCTGCGCAAAATTGCAAAAGCACAGAGTAATGCACTAGATTCAAATGATAAAACAATTTCCAAGATGTTAACATAATATTGCAGTTTTACATACCTTGCTCGAGTCCTCAAAAGAAGGATAAGACGCCTTACTTTCATAGGATGTGCCATAAAAATTGTCAAAATTACGAAAGACGTGAGTCGGGTGTAAAAAGGCCCCACCACAGCCATTGACAAGCAAATGGTGGACGTGTACTGGCTTGTCCGGTGATGGAACGTACGAATGACGCATGTAATGATGCAAGTCCCCGGCGATTCGGAGCTTACACCTGCCTCTTAAATGGTCGCGTATTAGATACGAAATATTTTTCCCGGTTGATAAATTCCAGTAACAATCGAGAAGCCAATTAGGTTCGTGGGTCATGATGATCACAGAATCATTTTCCCCCACCTGGACAAAAAATACATAATAACTAAAACCACAACTGAAGTTTGGTGTATTCACAGAAAACACCATCAAAGCTACAAAAGTAAAGAAAGAAAAATAAAAATAGAATAAAACGGAGTCCTATACTTTCCCCCTCATAAGCCCAAAAAAATTGCAAATTCCACGAGAAATGTTTCTTTTAAATCCAGTTTAATATACATGCAACAATCAAATATGCAGATCATTGATATATTAACGAAACAGATTACCTTCTCCTTAATCAACTCCAAAAAGAACTTGAATTGATAGTCATCAATATCACAATGCAAAGCAAGGTCGAGACCGAAAACCCACCATCCTTTTGGCAGCTGAAGGGCGAAATAACTTTTCTTCTGGGGCATAAACCACCCACCTAACCAGCTCTTGTGGCATATGTACCGCATGAATGTCTGTAGCCCGTCAAACCAATCTGTCAAACAGGAAAGATCAGAAAACAAAAAATAATGTAAAATAGTTTAAGGCAATAAGAAGCTAGAATTGAGCACGGGGATAGTTTGAAATCTAACCAGAAGGTTCATTTTAATTAGAAAAAAGAAAAAAAAAAATTAAAAATTACGTTGACCTCGTTGAAGAGTATTTATAATCTCGAAAGAAAATTATTTTGTTGCTTCTTTATAGATAATTACGTTTGCATTGGAAAGCACCAGAAAAAGCGATCTACAAAATTCCCGTACCAGAATAGAAACTGACCGTGATTTCCTGGTATGACAAAGCATTGAGGCCCTTCATACCGCCTTAGTGTAGGTACCCCACCAGGCAATTCTGGTTTGTTTACGGCTACATGCTCCTCCTTGTACCATAACGGAGGCTGAAGAGCATATTCAAAGGGGCGGAAAAAACGGCTCTCATAGGTAAATGAAGATGGATTGGGATAACTGACACAAATTACATAAAAATCTATTTAATACATGAAGGTCCCCAAAAATTCCATTTACATGATTTCTGCATTTAATAAAAGTATTTCCAAGTGAAAATAAGATGTTGGTGAATTTTAAAGAAGCAATCTGGAAATGGGATTCTAGCGGCAGCAACAAAGGAGGCATGTATAAACTTCATTAATCATCATATTCCATATAAAAACATATCTTCAGTCAGATGAATCGCCATGAAATGAAAGAAATCATTAATCCTGTCATCAATCAACTTCTTTTACCACTTTACCATGACAACCATTTTGAATACCCATGATCAACTGTAAAATGTAGAAAATCCTTTTTTTTTCCTTTAGACGGATGGTCCAGCCAATTAGACTACTGCATATATCTTGACACTTCAAAATTTTTATCCCTTCATTACTTCACAAGAGAAAGCTTTAGTTATTTGTTACATAATTTTTTTTTATATAAATGGGAAACCCCACAAAACAGGGGCAGAAATAGAATCATTAGGCTTACGCAAGATCACCCCCTATAAGGAGCAGGTCACCACGCTGAAGTGTGACCAGAGAATTATTACTCCTGACACGAATAGAAGGTTGAGCTAAAAGTCTTGCCACACTGTAGGAAGAATTACCACCATCACCAGTGTCCGCCATGAAATCAAACCACAGCTCATCATGTTCACTAAACTGGTCGTAAAAAAGATCGTCCTGTTTAATGGAACTTGCATCCTCAACCCTGCTCATTGCAGCCTATAAAGAGTTCACAACCAAAGACAGACTGAAATCAATTTGGAAAGAGAGTAAATAAAATTAACTGCAAATATGGGATGAAAAAAGAACATGTAGTTTGAAAAGCTAATAGCATCAAACTAGATTGAATAAAGTTGAAAAAGGGATTTGTTGATAAAGTAAAAAACCAAAAAAGAAAATTTATGCTAACAAGAAAAGATTTAAACATACCTGCATCATGCGCATGTCAAAACGCCCGACAAAGACAGTTACTGACACCATCAGGTCAAAAACTGTCTTGAATAAATCAGCAGATGTCCTGTATCATTCAAGCATATAATATGATAACTGAACAAGTCCAGAGGTTAGAGTATTCTGTGTGTGTGCGTGTGTGTGTGTGTGTGGGAGAGAGAGAGAGAAGAGAGATACCCAGAGTACCAAGGCACCATATCCAAAAAGTCGGGCGTCATTTGCTTTTTCTTCAATTTCTCAGATTCTTTTTGTGACACGGGGTGTGTAAGTGCCCATCTGATGATTGTTAGATAGACGGTTTGGACAATGAGACCATACAACTTTGACGGTATTTCTACATTCATGTGCTGATTATACGACCTCATTATGCCAATCACACAAGTAAATGAATTAAATAGCATGAAATGTTAAACTAAAGACGTGCAACAACACATACCAAAACCGAGCAGCAAAATATGTTTCACAGACAACAAAACAACTGCGTAACAATATAAATACAACACATGACAAGAGAAAGGCCTCATAATACTCTCACCCTGTCGACCTTCCCACAACGTAATTTGCAATATAGAGTCCTATAAAGGTGGCCCACAATGAATATATAGGTGAAATTTCATCAGGTGATTCCGCGCATGAGACGCCACTACAAGTCAACTGGAAAGACATCACAAACACACATACACTGACATAAGACAATGATCCATACATAGTGTTGGTCACAAAAGAAAAGTGGAAAAAGATTAGAACACTCGACAGAATGCTAAAAAGTCAAACCTCGCCATAAATAACCCATTTGGACAAAAGTGGATAGTCGCTAGCTGAACCAACAGGGGCAAACCAAGAATTACACACTTGATGTTTAAACTCATTCATGCGGACGAATTTCGCGATCCACGAGCTCCTCTGTTCCTTTTTCCATAACCTCAGCCAGCCCCATTGCCATTTTTCAAATGTCTCATCTCTTATAATAGCAAGATTGCCGCAGTGGCTATAAAACACACAGCACGCCACACTTATAACCTACACGAGAATAGAAATCGTAAACATAACGAAAAGAAGATATAGAAAATAATAGGTTTAAACTTTTCAAGACTCACGGCACAATTTTGGAGAATCGTGAGGATCGAAGGCCTCCTTCCAGCCACATGGGCCACAATACCGATATACCACAGGCCTATGAATACCAAATGAAAAATAAGAAGAAACAATACAGACGAGACGTATATTGTTAAAAACAGAGAGAGGTTCATTCTCATGTCGACTCCCATCGACTGGAAACTGGGAAGATGGTAAAGTGCAGCCACCAATATCCAGGCAATATACCTAAAAATTAAAGGCAAATCATTACATTGCATTAATATTTAATCACCAGGAATACACAACAAAAATAAATCATACACAAAGAAAGAATGAAAGAGACAGAGAAGGAGAACGCCTTACCAGCGGCTAAAGTTGGAATAACTAGGTTTAATTGTTTTTCCTATGAAAGGAGAAGAGAAGAAATAGAAGAACCCGAGGAGACAGGCGTACATGGACCACCATTTAACATTGCTGTCTAACTTTTGAACGAGAGTGTGCATATTATCTGAAGATATGAAAAATACACAACCCACGATAACAGCAATGACAGCATGGCGCGAATGCTCGTGTGGGTACGGATATGTGTTTGTGAAAATAGTTCTAACTGTATCCATGTGTAAGATTGTGTGTAGAAAACCAGTAGGGATTATTCGTCTGGTTCCACAGTCTTCAAATATTGGACATCCCTCTTGACGCAGAAAATGCAGGTGTTTTTAACATCTTTGCACAAAATAACTGCACAACAAACAAGTGCAAAACCCGGGTCCTGCAAATAAATTTTGACGAAAATGTAACTAATATAAATGGCATAGAAAGGATCACAATTTTAACTCAATGTGGCATTAAGCTGCATTTTACAAGAAATGGGACCACAAAGAGGGTAATGGAATCATTACACATTTCTCGCACCCGGAAAATTTGCACGTTGATACTACGATGTGGATATGTACGGTATTCGATATACATATGCATGTGGGACAAAAGATAAAGTCGACCGAAGGAAGTTAAAACAAATGATAGAACAGCAGTCAAAGAAGCCAATTACACAAGATGACAAGACAGTGAAGTACCATATGAGTGAGTGTCAACTAATCAATAGCATTTGACATATATACTGGCAAAATTCAAGACTGGAAAAAATAGCACGTACTAGGTCATTGGCGGCAAATTAAACCATATCAATTACCCTAAAAAAAATCTGAACTTGAGTAATTCTTTCTCAGTTCCTCTGGTTCAAAAATCCTCGGCCTAATCCTTTGCCTAGCACACTTTAGAACGGTGCTTAATTCAACAACGGCATCAAGAATTAAAAACACTTCAAACCGGATAAGATATGTCAGTACCAACTCTCAGCCCATCCATATAGCTATACAAAATTTGTCTGAATCAATTCACATTCCAAAACAACACGACACCCCAAATAAATAGTTTCAAAATTAAGAACAAGGCATCAACAATCAACATTGCATGTAAACACCGCAATTTGAACGTAAATGTCTCCATATGAATAATGAGGTACCTGATCGAAGGCGAACAGACATTTTATCCAAAAAAAAAAATGCGAATGATCGTTGGTCATAAAATTGAGTGACGAACAAGAGCCGTTTGAGAGGTCAATAGAGAAACCGCATAATCTGAAAACAAAAACAAAAACAAAAACAAAAAAGAACCTGTCCTCAACGGACCATTTTTAACTGAAATTGTTCTCGCATCCCCATTCCTCCTACTTATGAATATAATAATAAAAAAAAAAAAAAAATGA